TACTACTACTACTAGTACTACCACTGCTGCTACTAGGAGGAGGAGGAGGAGGACGAGGACGAGGACGACGACGAACTACTACCATTACTACCACTACTATCACTACCACTACCACTACTACGACGACTACTACTACTACTACTACTTCTACTAATATCACCACCACTACTACCACTACTATCACTACCACTACTACTACTACTACTACCACCACTACTACCACTACTACTACTACTACTCCTACTCCTACTACTACTACTACTACTACTACTACTCTCTCTCTCTACTACTACTACTCTCTCTCTCTCTGTGCGCAAGAGTCCAAAGGCTCCTTGGCGTAGTCGGCAAGCGAATTTCGCTCGGCTACCCATGGTAGCTACCCCATTTGGGGTATCCGTATAAAGAGTCCGATCCGAAGATCCAAGCGACTCGAATAAAATCTATACAACAGAGCCCTGGCCGACAGCCTCTGCAGTTCCGTCTTCGCATTTTGCGGATTCATTAACTGGCAGCAACATGACACTTCTATGTTTTGTGGACTAATGCATCTCAATCACATCCATTCTGCACCGGGATGATCTCAGATGAGACCTGGCATGGAGTTTGAAGTATTCACGCTGGTGAGGTGGAGGAATCAGTCAGAGCAGCACTTGTCAGATCAGCACTTTCAGCTTTTAGCCGTCATTCTGCGAGAGCAAATCCAAGTCTCCCCAGTAAAATTTTGTCACAAGCACTGAGCAGTTCAGGATTTCTCACATGATATGAAATGACAACGAGACGATCTCCATCCCAATCCATGCTGGCGTGCTGCTGTCTAGCATAGAACCTGAGGAAAGGCTTGGCCACGGGCTCAAGTCGTCCGACGATCCCCTCATTTGTGTGGTCGCCTGTCGGATCCGCAATCCAGAGCTCGCCCCTTCCAAACGTTGATGCCGGCACAATGTTGTTTGGGACTGACTTATGGTTATTCTGGTCCCGATGCACTCCCGACTTCGTATTCAAGGAAAAAGAAATCGATGAGAACCAAGCATCAGGGACAGCACTCATGACCACAGAAGTCAGCAACATCGTGACATGGAGGAATCCGGCGGTATTCAACATGACACCTGAACTGCTTCCATGAACGTATGCGCCAGTGTTGAAGACGCAGGATATCTGCTGGCCAGCACCTCTACTCTCCTGGAAAGTCCTACTTCGGTTTGGCAAAATCTGTGCCAGATGAAGCAGTGTGCCCTCTGTGACCCACCTATTGGTCAAAGCTGCGAAGGCCACCCTTCCACAATCGGAGTCAGGAATGGCCGCATTTTCATCAAAAGCAGCCGGAGGATGCAAGTTGAAGCCTACCTCGGTCGCATCACAAATGGACATAGCCGGAGAGGGGGAGTAGGCGTCTAGGCTGGTGATGGCCTCCAGAGACATGCGCTCAGACTCCGCCTCCTCAAAGGACCAGTCAAAAGACGGCTCGGAGCTATCCAAGACATCAGCCCGCGAAACTGAGAGCCCCCAAATCGATGGCGCCTCGAGTGCTATCAGCCCATCCCACTCTGCGCGGCTAAGACCGGAGCTGGCATCGTAAGGTATATCCATGCGCAATCTCCAGAAACAAAATCGCTGTACGCGAGTAACGGCTGCCAGTCTGTGATGTGCGCAGACATTGTGATGCAAGAAGAACATGCAAGTCAGGAGAATGAGCACAACCCTGCAAGCGAGGCCGGAGGACTCGATCTCGAACTTAACCTGAGCAAGCACCAATCTAGCAAAAGAGTTGTGCGAGGGCAATGTGAATCAGGCATAATTAGGCTCTGTTGTTCAGCTGTCTCA